GTGTAAAAACGGCAGAGTTTAAACTATTTAAAATTAGTTTTGGTGGCCATCTTGGATTTTTTATTTGAATTCAGTATTTTTTGTGCATTGCTCTCAGCTATCAACAAACCACATTTCAGCTTAATATCTATAAAAATGGCTGATTTAGAGTTAATTTCAATGAGAAAAATGGCAACTTTGTTTGCATGTTGTTGCCATGGTAACTTGAAATACCAATAAAAGTAATAGCACACGTCACGGTGCCGAGCCGGTCATTTTGATATAAAGTTCGTGGGGGTACACATTGCGGTTAGGGCCGCATTAAAGTTGATAGAAGCAAGACCCATTTCAGGTGGATAATAATAGGTGGCTGCCTTCAGGCAGTCCCCAATTACGTCGCCGTGGTAACTCGAAGTGCCAATAAATGTAATAGCACACATCACGTTGCCGAGCCGGTTGTTTAGATATATAATTTGTGGGGGGACACTTTGAGGTTCAGGCTGCATTAAAGTTGAAGAGTAAGACCCTTTTTAGGTGTGTGGGGGGGGTGGGGGGGCTGCCTCATAAAAAGTCCCCTATTAGAGTAGTAGTAGCTGGGGATCACCCTCAACATATTCTCTGAGCGCTAAAATATCTTGACAGAGCTTGCATATTTTAGTTTAAAACCTGAAAGGCAGCAGGGGATGTTCATTCTTACCACACATGCAGTAACCTTAAATTTAAATGTCTTTGAGAAAAAATAAAAAATAAATCCATGTGTAGTCATCATCTGAGTCACCAGATGAGTGTGGATAACTCCTAATCCTCAAACCTGGTGGAAAACACCTGTTGCCTGCAGAATAATTAAAGTGAAATCTGAGAAAGATCTGCAGCTAAGAGTCACCTGGCTGAAATCAAACCTTCGTTGTAAAGAACAACCTTAAATGTGCCCATTTAAGAGGATTTTGCTGCTCTGCAAGTAAAACAGTTGCAGATTTGTTCTGTGGTTTTGATGGAAACCCATCTAGCTGTGTTAAAACTGAAGCAACATGTGTCGTGTTACCTTTAATGGCAGGGCTCCTTTAATTGTGATGTAATCCCATCATTATGAGCCAGCGTAAATGTGAATCTTTTACCTTGGGGGTGTCATAATCAGAGTCTATTTAATGTTATACCTCAGGCAGAAACCCTCCTGTGCACAGCAGAAGGCAGGAATAAATCTGGATTGGTTTTCTGCAGGTGGCTCCACTCAACTACTGCTTCACACTCAGCTGCTTCCCTCTCCGTACTTTAATGCCCCATAATACTCCCTGCCTCTCACTTTCTCTGCTCTCCTTCCCTCTTTAACTCTCCTCTGTTTTCTTCTCATTCATCTGCTTTCTGTTTTACAAGTAAAGCGTTTCAGTGAGCTAAACTGGAAGGAACGTTTACAACTCCTTACGGTAAAGCGTTAGAAATACATCTTGTTTCATCATTTCCTATCAGTAAATCAGCGCATTGCAGAAGTAATAAAGAGCACAGTGAGAGAAAATTACAATATTTCAGTGGAAACACATAAAGAAGCAAAAGTGATTCTTTGCTTTTTGTAAAATGTAGCCAGTTTCAACAACTTCACATGCACTAAAGATTTTTGTAAAACACATTACAGTACAAGAAAAAGCCCCGTTAGATACAAACTTACGAAATATCAGCAATATTTAAAGCTAAACATTTATTTGTGACAGGAAGTTGTCTTCACAAAATGGTCATAACTTAGTGAATTTTACAGATTTTGTGCTAAAACTTGAATTGTTGACGAAACTTGCAGGAAATAATCACTGGATGCACGTCAGGTCGTTAACTTTCAGAGCCAACTCGATTCAAAATGGCTACCGTAGCCAACTGATATTAGAAAACACACAAAAAAAGGTTATATTTCAGTGAGGTTCCACAGACGTGGAGCTAATATCTAATGTGGTAGTAGCTGACAGTCATTCACAACACGTGCTCTGAGTGTGCATGACGATATTTACAAGGTTTGACCAGAACGGCTACAACTTCATCATTTCTCAAACAACTTTAGTTTAAAACTCTAAAGGCCTGCGAACGATATGCATTCCTTCAAGGAATGTTAAACCCTTAGTTTAATTTAGCAGCGAGCTAAAATGGAGGTAAAACCTTATTAAGTGAACAAATGTTATAAATGATTGGGCTTATTGACAGCCAACCGATGCTTAAAGGACTACACTAATGTAACATTTTAATTACTACGCAAAGGAAGCACCTCAACTGAAAAGGTAGGAATAAAGGAAGTTCAATAATTAGGATTCCAGTTTTTCATAATGCACTGGTGTCCAAAATACGGCCCGTGGGCCATTTGCGGCCCTTGGAGTGATTTTGTGCGGTCCACAACTGATGGTATCATTTTGTCCAGCGGGCTTAAGAGGTCGATGCAGACTTTCTAAAAATTTGTTGGTAATCCTTTTTTGTATAATGTTTAGGTTTAACAGCAAAACGGAAGAAAAAAATCTCCTAAAAACGAGTAATATTAAGCAAAATACAAACCTTTGGCTGTAATCTTTTCATTTTCACTTCATGGTACCAAGCACCAAAAACCTTTACTAATTTCTACCAGAAAGGAGATTTTTGGATAATGAGTCATAAAACTTGGCTAAATATGGAAGTTGATAAAATCATCAAGAGGGAAATTGGACATTTTTAAATGAATATAACGTGGTGTCATCTACATACGAGTTGATCAACTTTATCAATCCTTCTATGAATCTGTTGTAGTGACTGCTGGACGGTTTTTCAGAACTTCGATCAGCCTTTTGGGCCGTCCATGGTCCAAAAGACTGATCGACCCCCCTTTTCAAAGGACACTTACTCAAATTATGCTTTTATTGCTGAGAACAGACTAAAATTAACCAACAAACATGGACCCAACAAATCAAATAAATAAATTATTTTTAATTTAAAAAATTTAAAAAAAGCTTATGAGGCTTTTAATGTTTTGGATCTACAACAATTTCAAACTCTTTCTCCACCAAAATTAGTAAACTTTGGCTTTTTCGCCAAAAATATTGTTCACGCTGAGAGTTAAAGTCAAATTTTTGTCGCCCACGAGTCCTTTCATCTAGTTTTGTCCCACATATGAAAACGTTTAGACACCCCTGTCATAATTTTATAGTTAATATATTGTTATTTTTGCTGCTTTTTAATTTTTATAGAACAACCGAAAACAGTGGAAACTTCATGCAACTATTTCTTTATCTATTGAGTTCCTCTCCTTCTATTTCAGATTTATATTAAATTACTATTCTTGGTGACATATAACGATTTCTTTAAAAAAAAAAAAACTATGTCAAACCAGCCCTTTCTGCTACCTGTGAACATTTTATTTCCAGCGCAGACTGTAACTCTGTTTCGTGGTGATCCTGTTTCATCATCTAGTATTTTTCAGCTCAGACTATAGAAGCAGACAGCTGGTCTTGAGTGGCCAATTATGTCCGTTTATCTGCCTTCCAGGCACAGCTGTGATCAAACAGAATGAAGAAACAGGATCAAACAACGAGGCTAAAAATGATTCTTCCGTTTGGTTCCCTTCTTTTTGCCGCCTCTCTCGTTTCTGTCTCTCCTCCATCCTCCTGCTGTACTTCCATCCCTCCTGCCTCCTTCTATATAGACGCACTTCTCCGTCTCTTTGTGCTTTCCTCGTCTCATCTCTGGGGAGACAGCAAAGGGGAGGCATCTATAAAAGTTTAGTGCTGAGGAAGCTTCATCCTGCAAAGCCCTACAGCTGAGAATGTGTGTTCAGGCGGGGAGAGCTGGAGGGGAAGCTGGAGGGAGTCCTCATCACACAAAAAGTATATTTTACTTCTTGTCAGCAGATATTTTGTTATCATAAAGCAACAGCATCAACAGGCATGAAATGTATTCTTTGATAGCGCTTTTCAGTACAGATAAGAGAGTTAAGGTCCTTGAACAAGAAGTTCAGTTAAAATGGATAAAGATACAATTTTGGCAAGATCTATATGTTGGAAAATTATGCATCTTTTTTTTTTTTTACAATTTTAAGTATTTGGAGGTGGCCTGACCTCAACCTTTGACAGGATCTGGGCTCTTCAGAAACACCCGTTTCATCTGTGAATTGCAACTTTTCTGTTATTTTCTATTTAAAACAGGAAAACACTCAATCCAAGTCATAAGATCTGCAAAAAGTCTTCCTAAATCAAAAAGTCCTGGAGCAGAGCCAACTGTTCCGTGGATACTCCTCTCATGTCTTCCTTTTTCACACTCGCTGCACAGCTTTATCCAAGACTCTTCTTGTGCGTAAAGATGAATGCGCTAAAAGACGCGCACCCATTGTGTGATTTTGTGATGAATACACAACCTGCGCTGGTTCTGTCACTGGTAGCTGCTCATAAAAAAAATACAAAGATAGCTTTCAGCTGAGGTTACACGTCTGTCTGTCTCTCTCTCACACTCAGCCGGAGTGAGTAAAAGAGGCAGAAACGGACCCAGTTGGAGCGTGGGAGCTGACAGACAGCAGCCGGGTCACAATGTCCGCCACCTCTCTGCGCAACAAGAACCCCCTTCAGAGATGTTTGAAAAATATTTGTTTAAGCTTTTTGGAAAACTAAGCACTTTTTATAAACAGGAAAAACCTATAAAACTGCATATAACAGTGCAGCTTTTTTTTTTAAAGATGTTGCAGAATTATTGATGCTCTGTCAACAAAACCATGACAGGACGATTTGGGAGCATCAGGGGAACAATGAAAACACCATGCAGGCTGCTGAAAATATCTGAACTACCTCTTTAAAGTATATTCTTATTTGATCACGTGTTATTTGATTCAGTCTATTTTGAAATGTAATCTCTCACACCACAAAGTGTCTAAATAAAGTGGATCAAGGGAGCATGACAACCATAATAAAATACAATTTTCATGATCTGCACCTAAATTATTTTGAGTTTTTGTATAAAACTCTCCAAAAAAAAGTGTTCCGTTTCCAGTTTGAGCCAAATGTTTCCTCGGGGAGCCAAGGTGTCAAACTTACCCACTTCCTCTGCTTTTACAGCTGAAGGCAAAAGACACGGGAGTATACATCCACAGAACCATATGACTAAATCCATGTTTTCCTCTTGGTGTGGAGAAATAAAAATAAAAAGATAAAAACACCTCCTCTCCTCCTGTTTCTGAGGCAGAGCTGCAGTCCCACTCGCGTCTTCTTTTCCACAGTCCTTCTCCCCTAACACAACCAAAGACCACGATCCAAGGGGGAAACTACCATGTGCACGCTGCTCCTTTAATGTGCACAAAACGCACGTTTACTCTGAAAGCAAAGTAATGTCCGATGTAAACACAGTCTGCGTCCCGCGGAATCCATCTCGGTGCGCAGAGTCCGCAGCGCGGAGAGACCCCGACAGTCAAAACGCGCGTGGGTAATTTCAGAGTAACCAGAAATTAGAGTTTGTCATCAGGAATATCTAAAACAAGTTTTACTACAAAGAAAAAAAAATTAAAAAAGTCACGTCCTCCACAACTTTCTTCATAAAAGACGCAGTTTTTATTTTATTTTAAATGAGATTTTAAATCTGCCGCTCCAACAGTTTTTACATCTTGAGCAAAAACAATGACATCCTGTGAGAAGCAGGTCCAGTCTGCGCGCGTAAAACGGCTTGGGGAGGAATAAACGTGGTTGCGTTTCTGCTCCTCTTCACGCGCAGACTGCGCGTGGGGCTCCGGCAGCGCGCACCTTCCCCTCCGAGCTCCGCCGGCTTTGTGGCAGCGAGCAGGACTGCTCACTCAGCCGTCCCCCCCCCCCACTCCCCCCCTGCCTCCTGACTGGGTGTGCGTGCGCGCGGTGCGCATGAGCGTGGATCGGATTACAGTACAACCCCTCTCACTGATTAAAGAGCAGTTTCAGCTCCCTCTCTTTTTATTTGCCTGATCATTTCTCACCACTTTACATCTTCTGCTGAATTTCTTTCATTCTTTCCTTTTACTAATATTTTGGATGTGAAACACTCTCCAGTCGGCTGAACCTTCTGAAGAAAGGGCGAAGAAAAACAGAGAAATCAGCATATTTAAACTTTACAGGACTGTCAGGAAACACTGCTTCTAAATGAGAACAGCCTTTTATGAAAGTCATCGTACTGAATGTGCAGCTGTGCTGTTGTGCTCAACCCTTCAATACAAAGTTATGTGCCATGCCATTTCAAAACGTTACACTCAAAGCACGAGTAGTGAATGACTCTCAGCTACTACCACATCAATACGTTGCCTTATTGTAAATAGGCCGAGTTATTTTTGCCTTGATTAATTTACCGCCTTGAATTTAAATAACTCCAGAAGTTACTAGTTTGTGGTTACTTTCTGGAAGTGTGAATAAAATATGTCAAGCGCGTCATGAGATATTTTGCTAACAAACAGGCAGAGCTGACTAGTATATGGCAAAGTCCTAAAAACAGATCCTTTGTGATGCGTTAGTGCTGCTGACTCTCAGCTACTACCACACCAAATCCCAACTCAGCGTCTGTAAAACAGCTCTTTATGTTGGCTAATATCAGTTAGCTTTGGCAGCCATCTTGAATTGTATTCACGCTGAAAGTTAATCAGCTATATCTAAAAATTACCGTTGGAAAGCTTCATTGAAATCCATCCTCATAAATCCCTAACCAGAATAATCACTGTAAGAAAGAAAATAAAAGCACTGTAATGCCACTTTCATTGGTGATATGTGACTTATCTGTTCTGCTGATTATCCATACTGCTGATAATTTCATAGTGATGATTATCTCATGTTGCTAATTAACTCATGCTGCTGATTATCTCATGTTGCTGATTATCTCATGCTTATATTATCTCATGCTGATGATCTCATGCTGATGATTAACTCATGCTGCTGATGATCTCATGCTGCTGATCATCTCATGCTACTGATGATCTCATGTTGCTGATTATCTCATGCTGTTGATTATCTCATGCTACTGAATAACTCATGCTGCTGATTATCTCATGCTGCTGATTATCTCATGTTGCTGATTGTCATGCTGCTAATTATCTCATGCTGCTGATAAACTCATACTGTTGATTATCTCATGCTGCTGATTAACTCATGCTGCTGATTATCTCATGCTGCTGATTATCTATTGTTGCTGATTGTCATGCTGCTGATTAACTCATGCTGTTGATTATTTCATGCTGCTGATTAACTCATGCTGCTGATTAACTCATGCTGCTGATTATCTCATGTTGCTGTTTATCTCATGCTGTTGATTATATCATGCTGCTGATTATCTCATATTGCTGTAGGTATTCATTCATACCCATCTGCTCACCATAGGCTCATGTTCAGGCTGCTGTTGTTATGCCGTATTGTTTTGTATTATAAGTGTTTACCGTACCGTTTGGTCCTCATTTAACGTATTTCTTAATCTTAGATCCTTATTGTTTCTTTTTACACGTTATATTTTTTCTATTGTTGGGTGTAAGTGGGACCCCGAGTACATACTTTCGTTCCACCTCGTGTACCACATGTGATGTGAACGACAGTAAAACTGACTTGAACTTGAATCTTGTGGTTAAAGGTATATTTTGCTAACGCTACAGACAAACATAAACACAGATTTGAGCAGGTCTGACATGGTGAATGTATTTCTGTACTCTGAAAAGAGATTTAGTTTAAAGCCACGCAGCAGTTTTCGTCTCCTTCAACGTGCAGACATCCCCTGCTCTTTTTCTGCTGCTTGTTCTCTCTCAGCAGTGTAATAGAGGGAGTCTGTCAGTGGGAGGTGTGTTTTAGCAACTCCAAAGCTTGTGGTCTGACAGACTAAACCCGCCCGGGCCTTCAGCTCTGCCTTCCCAAGGCACACCCTGCTCACATCCACACACACATGTACACACACTCAGGCCATAATGACACAGCAGAGCTCACCGCTGACCGCTCAGTAAAACAAAATCATGTCGAGCCCTGGGATCCTGCGGGAAGAAAAGCCCTCTCAAACTTCTTTATGACAGAGAAGATCATCACAAAATAGCCGATTCTTCTTACATCGAGGGTATTATTTATAGACTCTTGAACTTTTGGGACACGACACTTTCTGAGTGGTTGGAGCAGCAGTGATATGTGATATCCACGTTTATCATGGTTTAAAGGGGTAGTCTGGTCTTTTTTTGAAGGGATGTTTGGTAAAATTGTTATCATCAGTACTTCATCAGCCACAGAGGGGCGCACCCAGAAAGTTTTCAAATAAACCTGATGGGGGCAACTAACCTTTTTTTTTTGAAAGATGTAACTTTATTTACTTTTTTCTATCTCTCATTAAAATAAAAAGAGAACTCTTGAAATCCTTGAAAGAGTTTGTGCTCGTTGAAATCTGTAACCTTGTTTCATTTTGGTGTTTTAGCTACTGTTTAGGTGTCAAAGTTCATGCTCAGTAATCCAGGTGAAAAAATCCAACAAGGTTCAGTCAGGTTATCTAGACGGTTTCTTTTTTTTTGTTGTTGGGACGTTTCGCTCTTCATCCAAAGGACTTCATCAGTCCGAGGAGCCACAAATTAACTGAGTCCCACAAGCAGCACACTCCCATAGTGGACCAACACTTTGTTGGTGATAAGACGATACTGTTTCTGTGGTTTTAGCTTATTTATTTAGCTCATTTTCTTTTTTGATTTACTGTTTTGTATATTTATACTCAGCCATCATTTTGCTTTCTTTAGCTCTTAGCTATTATTTGCTAGATATTGCTAATGTTTTAGTGTTTTCAGCTTCTGGCTGTTTTGCTGGTTTTAGCTTTTACCTAAAGTTTAATCAATTTTAGAGTTTGGCTAATTTGAGCTTGTATGTTTTTTATAGCTTATTTCCGCATTTGTTCTGATGTTTTTTTAAGTTTAACTATTCAGTTTCAGATTCTTTAGCAAATCTTAGGAAAGCCATTCAGCATTCACTGCATTTTTTACTAAAAATATAATATAAAATAAAAAATAAAGCTAGTTAAAGTTTACTATTTTCAGCATTCTGACGTGGGGACACTGGGTTTTCGCACACAATCAAACAGCCGGTTGCATTTTCAAGCATCTTGCCTGAAAGTGTTTTTCCATGACAGATTAGCTCGTAGGTTTTATGGGAGTGACTGTTCCCCAGCTCATTCCTGGGGTCCCTTTGGTTTTGCGACCTCTGTAACCTGTCTCTCTCGCCCCTCTTGCCACTGAAACCAAACCCACCCTCGGTCCACTGGAATCTGCCCAGTGATGAGAGCACAGAGCGGCCACATGGTCACACTCATCTGAAAGAGTGAGGAATCTGTCTGAGCTCACCCTCTCGTACCAAATGCAAAGTTATAACTTTAAATGTCCTTTTCAGTCTTTCTAAAACAAGATGTCCATCCTGTTATGAAATGGTTAATTCATTTGGACCATTTAGGAATCATTTCCTGCTTTCCTTTAATGCATCGTGTTTTCGGTTTCACTGAAGTGAAAACAGACTTTACTGTTCTGTGACGCCTTTTCCTGCTTGCCAGGCAGCAGCGGACCGGCTACTGACATCACCAAGAACCCAATTAAGGACAAATTTACATACAGAGCAGCTGCTGTCTATTTCCTCTTTAATGTAAACCAAATGGCACATTTCACTGCCAATTTAATCAAAAACCAAACTGTGCTGCCACTCTATGTGGATTTATGTTGTTTTTTTTTTTTTTAATCCAATTTACTTAATTTATATAAATTAAAAAAACAGGTAAGATTATATTCCCTTTGACCACCTCTTGAGGCTTTGTAAAAATAAATAAATAATTTCCCTTTTTGGCCCGGCTCTGCAGGTAATAATTGAGTTCACTCTCTGTAAACGATGTTGATCTTTATGAAAACGTGTCTTTTAACAGAGCAGTGAACCAGCAGAGGGTAAGGGGATCTGTGCTTTGCGTCAAGGGAACAACTCCTTGGCCAGCTTGTCAGCAAGTAGAACTACTTCTGTCCACACTTTGACGACATTCAGCACCTCCTCCATCCCCTCTGGTGTGGACGATCTGACGACTGATTATATGATTTCACTTACAATCTCATTGCAGAATCCCACTGCGGGTTAAATAATCTCGAGCAGCCAAATCAGATGTTTGATCTGTGAACATGGTTTTTAAAATGCCTTGTAATTAAAGTGGTGTTATCTGTGTTTTTTCAAAGGAGCCCCAAAGAAAATCTGGGTCAGAATTAGTCCCTTAAACAAAACTCAGCTCTGTTCACTAGAAAAACTAGAGACATTGCATTTCCTGCCAAAATGCAGTGTGAATGCTTATTGCAGAAGAACTTGCTGAAAAAAAAATGCTGAAATCAGCAAAAAAAAAAAAAAAATCTGAAATGTAGCTGAAATTAAAGAGCAAGCCTAAGTTAGCAGAAGATAGAAGAAAGAATATTTAACATTTAAAATATTTGCTGAATTAGGTTAAAATAAGCAGAAATTAACACAAATTAAATTAGCTAAAAAAGCTGAAATTGGAAATAGAATTAGCTGAAAAGTAGCTGAAAAGCAGAAATAAGCTTAAACTACTCGGTGAAAGCAGAAAGGACTGAAATTAGGTAAAAAATGTGGAATTATCTGAAAAAAGCTAAAATTAGCATCAAAATAGCTAAATAGTAG